ACCCATGGACGGTCCGGCCATCATCACCCAGGTGACCAACCCCAAGGAGGACGAGGCCCGATCGCCCTGTGCGGGCGAAAAAGGTGAGGAGGGGCACGGGCAGCTGCCGCGAGGGGCGTGAGTGCACCCCGCGTCGCCGGAGTTCTCGGTGTGCGTCCGCACGGGCGTGGGGGAGGGGTGCACTGAGCCGGGAGGGTGCGTGGGTGTGGGGTGCGCCTGGAGCAGAGGGAGGCTGCGAGGGTGCGTGTGCCAGCTAAGCTCGTGTGAGTGTGCATGAGCGGCCGAGAAGTTGGGATCGGATGTGTGCACACTGCACAGCGCTGTTTTAAGTGTGCATGCGGTGCGTGTGACAGGTTGTGGGTGCACCTACGTGTGCGCGCAGGCCAGCTGGAAGATTATAAGGGCGTGTGTGCTTCGAACAGATTGTGTGTTGCTGACAGGCTGTGTGGAGTTTGTGGTCTTATGTGGAGGTCTGTATGCATCTGACTGAGAGGTGTTGGAGTGTGTGCAGAGCCGGAGCCTGGGGACGGTGGATGAGTATGTTCACTCCTGATGGAGTTGGTGTGCGTGTGATCGTGTGCCTACGCTACCCAACTGGCAGAACGAATGCACTGTGTCTCTCTACTGTAAGGGTGTGTGTGGTATCCACCGCCCTGACCAAGAACCTGTGGGTACAGGAGTGCACATATGCTTGTGCACAGCACAGTGAGGCCATGTCTTGAGAATAGTTGGTTGTGCAAGTGGAAATGAGAGATGAAGAGGAGCTGTGCTGACCCCCACAGACGGCAAGGCACACATGCACGCTTCCTTCCTAGCTCTTGTCTCAGAGTCTGAGGAACTCCAAGGCCTGGCGTCTCAGGCCTCTGGTGATTGGGGTGGGGGTGGGGGCTCTAAGCAACACTCTGTTCGAGCTTTGGGGAACTGGTCAGGGACTCAACCGGCAATGCAGTGTTGCTCCTGGTTTGTTTGGGGGTCATATTCTGGCCCCACTCCTTTTCTCTGTTTACTTTTTGCTCTTTCTCTTGGTCTGTTGACCCCTGGGAACTGCCTGGAGTCACTGTGTGTCCTGCAGGTTGGACAGACTGTTTTGAAGAGCTGGCATGGTTTGTTCTGGCGACTAACTCTTGCTTCACTGTCCTGCCATGTGCAGGACAAACACCCCGTTCCCTCCCCAAGGACCTGCTTGCCCCCTCCAGCCTGTGTGCCAGTGCAGTGAGCAGGGACTGCGGCCCTCCTGGGAAATGGGATGAGGATGGGGGAACAGTAGGACCCCCCAAGTAGGACCCCCGGACAAGCCAGGAGAATACAGAGACTCTCCAGAGGTCCCTTGGGTGGGGATTCGCCATCCATTTCACCCCGTACACTGTAAACACTGCCTGCATCACAGACTGGTTTTCTAAATGTATAATAGAGAATTCAAACTCCACAGAAGCCCTTCGTGCCCCATAAATGAGTTTTGAAAACCCTGCAAGAGGGTTTGGAGTGAATTCCACGCCTGCCTGGGGCCTATGTGGATAGCCCTCTGGAGTCTAGCCTTCCCACCATAGGGGCTGGAGTTTTGGGGACCCTGGCTGAGGATGTCCCCTCGGGGAGGGTCTCCGAGCTTGGTGAACCCAATTGTCCTCTCTACTGTGGACTTGTAGCAAGAGCTGTGGCAGGCAGCTAGGGGCTACTTGCCAGGACCTGGGTCCTCTTGCGGCTCCAGCCTCTGAGCTGCAGTTTTGCAAACTCCCTCATCCTGGCGGCTCAGGTTTCTGAAGCAGAGTCAGCCTATAGAAAAGCCAGACCTTGTACGTGTTACTGGAGGTGCTTGCTCCGTTGGACTTGTTGACATTGCTTTCCTGGACAGGCCTTTCATATCGCTAACAGTCTATTTTGTTTGTTTCAGTGTCAGCTTGGTTACTTGTTAACTGATTAGGGGAATTCCACGCCTGCTGTCCTAGGGTGGGGTGCCTGGCTAGTAAAAGCCTTAAAATACCACTAACATGAGTTTTTTTACTCCAAAAAGTTGATATAATTTTGATCATATGTGGTATAACAAAATACTTGAGAATCATTGTTTTATCTATTTGTTTTTAAAAATATTTTTGGCTTGGTTGGAGCCAGGCGGTGGTGGCACACGCCTTTAATCCTAGTACTTGGGAGGCAGAGGCAGGCGGATCTCATGAGTTCAAGGCCAGCTTGGTCTACAAATCAAGTTCCAGGACAGCCAAGCTACGCAGAGAAATTCGGGGTGGGGGGGGATTCAGCCTGTGCTTTGACAGTCCCACAGGTAAGCAGCGTATCCTAATCATATCCACCCCCCAGCTCCCCTTAGCCCCCACCAACACGCGCTCCTCCCACCTTCATGTCTATTCCTGAGAATCAGGTTTGAAACAGATTCTTTAGAAGAATAAACCACCAAAAGGGTTCAACAGTGTTTCCAGCTTAAGTATGCTGGTATCTTTAGATAGGCAGAACGTATTTTATATAATTTAAATGAAGACAGACAGCCATTAAGTATTGGGCCTGCAGTGTTTGGAAGTGTTTGAGGTATGAAAGTGATTGATGGTTTTTAAAGATGTTTGCTTTCATTATTTATTCTGTCAAATAGGCATGACAGCGACTCTTGGGTTTGATGGGAGGGATAAAAGAAGCCGTATATGGAGAGCTCTGCTCTGTGTACCTGCGCACCACTGCTCCACAACCTTTGTCTCAGTGTGGGTTTAGAACAGAAGCTGGGTGTGCTGGCAGCAAGTTGAATTACTTCTTGACACAGTACGTGTGGCTGTGTGCTCAGAAATGGCTGTCGCTGTCCCCTTAGCCTGTCTCTCTGGGCTATGCCTTCCCGTTGTGTGTGGTTGGGTTGATAGTGTGAGGCTCCGAGGAACCATGTCCCCCGGCAGGCTAACTGTCCCCACTTTGCTGTCACATAGCACCCAGAAAAGCAGACAAGAGGTAGGAATGAGAAAGCCATGGGGGAAGAAACCCGAATGACGAGTGTGTCTGTGAAAGACCAGGTCGTCTTGTTAAACATTCAGGTGACGTCCAGTGTTCAAAGCTGACATGTTTGGGAAATGACTCCTCTCAATAAACTTGGAAGAAATTAAAAAAAAAATAGCACAGGCTTTTCTTGTCATTAAGATTTATTTATTTGTATTTCATTTGTGTGGGTGTTTTGCCTGCATGTATGTCCATATGCCATGTGTGTGTCCGCTACCTGTGGAGGCCAGAAGAAGGTGGTGTTTGATCCCTAGGAACTGGGGTTAAGGATGGTTGTTGTGAGCCACCATGTAGGTGCTGGAACTGAACCCTCTGAAGGCAGCCAGTGCTCTTAACCAGCCCCAGGGGTGCAGGCATTTTCAAGAGTAATTTAATACTTAAAGCGTAAGGAATGCTTTTGGCTGCAAGTAACAGAAAACCAGGCTTCCGGCAGCCTAAGCCAGCTCCTCCTTAATGACCAGTGGCTGCTGTGGCCCTCGGCAAGCGGCTCTGATGTTATAGCCAGCGTCACAGTGATTCTCGGGGCTCCCCCACCCCCAGTCACCATAGTCAGTCACAGAAGTGCCATCTTCAAGGCAGGAAAGTGGACAGAGCCAGCTCGTGTTCATCCCTCTTCCCTGGAAAGCCGGCCATTCCCAGGGGCTGCACAGTAAACTTTTGTTCATGTTTAATTGGCCAGAACCGGATCACGTGCCCTCCCTTAGCCTCACGCAAAATCGAGGACGTTAACTGTCTAGCCCACCTAGGAAGGAGAGAAGACCATAATAGAGGGGATCAGCATCCTCAGCACCGGTTTTACCTCTGTGTCTCTGTCAAGAGGTGTCACCTCCTCTGTACTCAGAGACACAGTGCGATGATGTCACTGCTGACAGCATGGCTTTGCTATAGCAACATTCCCAGCCATCCTGTGTCAACAGGTGAGTAAGGCTGGACCGTGGGCCTTCAGTCCTGCAGAAAGAATGCTCCCAGGCCGTCGGACCAGACAAGTTCAGTTACATCTGAACATATAGACACGTGACTTTCTGAGACATTCCATAGTGAGAAATCTCAAGAATGACATAACAGTGTGATCCTATCTTGTTTTTTTAAAAAATCAAATACACAAAACTGAACAAATATGTAGAAATACCCACACACAAATGAGACAAATGCACAGAGGTGATTCCCTCGGGGGCAAAGGCAGAGTGGCAAGTGAGGCAACTTTGGCTCTTTGTTTAAAAATTGATGAAAATGTGCTTTTGTTTTATGGATGAATTTTTTTTTAACTAAGAAAGGACATTTCCCCTAGCTCTTTGGAAAGAAATAATTTGAAGGAATTGTACAATAACAAAACAAAACCCAAAGAAACCTCGATTAATATGCAGAAATACCCAGAACATTTCAATGCTAGCTAAACAGCTGATTGTGAGCTGATAGGCCTGCTGGAGGTCACCACAGGCTGGTGTATTTGTGCAGCTATTTGGGCCCAGAGACCTGAGTCTGCTTCTCATAAATGTTTGTGACCCTTAATCTTTTATTAAATATCATTCTAAACTTTTAAAATTTTATTTCATGTGTATGGGTGCTTTACCTACATGTATGTATATGTACCGTGTGCATGTGCCAGAAGAGGGAGTCAGATCAAGGCTGGAGTTACACGCAGTTGTACATTGTCATGTGGGTGCTGGGACTTGAACCCGATTCTCTGAAAGCACAGCTTTTAGTCATAACTGAGAGCCTCCGACCTTGGAGGTGCTGACAGAATTACAGCTAAGAGAAGGTTCTTCTGAGCCGTGATCATTTCAGACGAGAGGATAGGCTGAAGGGAGGTTCACGCTAACACTTTGTCGAGGCGGTGTGAGGCAAGGTCTCGTGAAGTTCAGGCTGCCCAGGAATTTTCTGTGTAGCCTTAAATTAGCCTGTACCCCTGTACCTCCTAAATGCTGGGATCACAGTCATGTGTCAGTGCACCCGGTTAATTCAGGTTTTTTCTTTCTTTCTTTCTCTCTTTTTTTTTTTTCTTTCAAGACAGGGTTTAGCTGTAGTTTTAGAGCCTGTCCTGGAACTAGCTCTTGTAGACCAGACTGACCTCGAACTCACAGAGATCTGCCTGCCTCTGCCT